GGGAGAACAGCACTCTCTGGAGCACAGTAAGGGAAGAGCAGGAGAAAGCTGAGAAGCCCTGAAATCCCTAGCAAGAACAGAGCTATTCAATTGCTTAAGTGACTACTGAAAAAAACCCCACCTCCAGATCCCCTAAAGGTCTTGATTACTTGCTTTATTTGCATCCTTGTTCAGCCAATACTAGCAAAACGTGCAAGACTTTTAGCTAAATAACTGCTTGCAGCTGACGCTGAGCTGAAATCCAACTGTAAATTCCTGCTTTCTGAAGAAAAAAATCCCAATCATGGAATTGCTGTGAAATGAAATTGGTCCCTGCAGGCATGCAAGTGCTGCAGCACTTGCTCTAGATCATCTGAGGTTTACAGAAGCTGAGAGCCCGTGCCCATCTCAGTGTCCACTTAAGATGTCAAGTAACCAGTTTTCGTCGTGACAGCAAAGGGATCCAATTAGCTTCAGACAACTCATGCAGAAGGAGCATCTTTTGTAAGAAAGAGCTCTGGATGCAAAGGAGGTCCTACGGGTAACCAGGCTTGAGGGGAGAAGTAGCTTAGAAATTACAGTAACAGGTCAGGATGCTGCAAACAGGCTCCAGGTTATCCCAGCATCCACATCCTCCCACAAAGACTGCTACCATTCCTCCTCTTGCACATTAAAGGTGGGAGAGAAGCCATGCACAGATGTCTTCCAGCTAGAGTCCCTCTACTCCAACATTAGCATACAGCAGAGTAAATGACTTCTAAAAGCAAAGGCCTGAAGCTTTTCACACCATATAATGGTCAGTCCACATAAACTGCTCTACTGTAGACTAGGGAAGGAAAGCATCCATGGTGAATGGGCTAGAGTTTATCTTGCTTACTTTGTTCAGGACAATTATGTGTCTCTGGGTCAGAGCTTTCTTGCAGTGCCTCTTCCTGCCAGGTCTTGCACCGAGGTCCAAACCCTCGCAGACCAAACTCAGCCCTGGGGTCGACAAGCACCTGCACCTCCTGAACTCCATGGGAATGGTGCCTGCTTGCTTCAAAGGCAAATTTTACCCTGTGTTTATACCAGCCTATAAGGCATGAAAAGGCCTAGGAGGTCACACATCCACCACTGTAATTTCAGGCAGGATCAAACAGAAAAGCAACAGCTGGGCTGAGTGAGCAAGTCCACATTTAATTACAACGGTTTTGGTAATAAGCAAAGGCAAGAACAAAGCCAGTGAAAAACCTCCCTTTTTCTTCCTGGCTCCTGTTCAGGCTGTGTAGAAACATCTGCCTAGAGGAAAATCTCAAATGAGATCCACCAACTACATTTTTTTCATTTTCAGGACTGCTACAACAGAACTGTTCCCTATGCAACGCTGCTGTGCTCTGACGAGCATCAAGGACCTATGGGCAGTTCACAGCCGGTCACACCGAAGGGCTCGGGTCTGTGCAGGTATTTCCCAGCCTATAGCTCGACCCCCCTCCACTGTGTCTCAAGTCACACATGCACAAGTACATGCACACAGTCATTCTGCAGTAAGCTGCATGGAGGATTTCATTTGCTTTAACATCCTCTGAATATGAAATAATGGTTGCAAAATAGGATTATTAGTGCAGAGAATTATGGACCCAGCTCATGGGTCCCGCCTGGCCTGGGGAGGCGGCAGAAAGCAGCTCTCAGAGCAGCAGGGATGCCCACAGAGCTGACTGACCCCCTCCATCAGATCATGCATTTACAGCCAGGAGCTACTCTTGCTGCCCCGCAAAAGGCCCTGGAACAGTGGTAAGGATAGGAAACGAGCCCTAAAACACATAGACAGGCAAGAAGGCTTAGCAGGGTGGGTGGAGGGCTTTTTTTGAATGCTGGGAGCCTTCCACCCATTTTTTTTGTGACAGCAAATTAGAACGGATCAGTGGGTCCGCCTCATCACATCTTATACCTCTGACAGCATCAGTGAGAGCCTAACACAACCCAAGAGCACAACAGAAACACGTCTGGAACAGAGTATCAACCCCAAACCCCTCCAAACAAACTGCTGACAGACCACTGCCCAGCTGGGTGTCACAGGGGGACACAACGGGAATAATGGGAAGGCTGGAAAACCATCACATCCCTGGGAACCAAGGGCTTCTGACCTTTCTAGCAAAGCCTGCTGAGAGAACTGGGTGGGTTGTTTTGTACTCCTGGCTTTAATTACAGTCAAGTGTTTAAGTTATTCTCCTCCAACCACCCCCACATCCCTCACAAGCAAAAATCTAGGTTTTTTATAGCACATCCGGTATGGATGTTAAACACATTCAGGAAATGCACTTTCAGCCCCAAACTGCCCTTCCCCTGGACCAGTTAGGCTGCAAGAGTTTGTAACATGGAGATGTGGAACCGGATGTTTGGTTTTGTGACCGCTGCTTTCCTGGATTACTTCTGTCTGTTTAGAGAAGGGAAATTAAATAAATGCAGGGATGCTGGTTGCATCCAGAAATAATGCAAGCTGCTTGCAAGGTGAAGAAAGAAAAGCCAGATGGAGAGGCCGCTCTTAGCTGCTCAAATCCCCTGCACACAGGGCAAGGCTTTTATTTTTTTTTTTTTTTAATAGCTGACAAAGGTCCTGGGGGCTGACAATGGCTCCCAGCACAGTGGGCATCCACAGACAGGTCTATGATGCCGAATCACATGTTTTTCACTGCCTTCTAGTGATACTGACCTAGACTGCGGCTCTCCAGTAATGCACAAGAGAGAAATGCACCCTGTCCCCCAAAACTTCTATTTTAAGTAGCCAAAGGGCAGCAGCAACAAACCATCAGGCAATGCCAAGCTCTGTTGGTCCCCAGGTGCTGCTCTGGCATGTCACTGAGGCTTGTGGCTCTTTGCTCCAGAGGAACAGGGCTTGGACAATAGCTTGGCTCCAAGTCTAAAACCTGACCTTTGTAATTTTCTTAACATAAGGGACTCGCCTCTGGCTTTAAGGAACACTGCAAGCCTGTTAGTAACTTTCTCACCTGAAAATACCCTGGCTGACTTCCCAGCTGGAAGCACCCTCCTAAGCCCAAAGGCAAGCATGTTTGCTGGCAGTCTGAAGGATCAGTCTTGGATACTATCCCAAGGCCGAAGACTCCCTGGAGCACTCTCAGTCCAGAGGGCACATTCTGGCCATGCTGCCCCAGACAGTCTCCTGCTAAATCCTCAAGAGCACTGGGCTGTTCCACACATTGATCAAAATACCACTGCTATGCCTCTGCTGTAGCATCACTGCACAAACCCAGGATATTCTGCAGCAGGTTGCAAAAGGGAAGGCACACATGGCTGCACTGCATCAGGGTTTGCTGCTCTGAAAGAAGGCAAGACATGCAAGCCCAGGGTATTTTTCTCCTCCCTTCCCCACAACCAGGCCACCTCATATTCTGGGCAAGCAACTGTCAGTAGGACATCACACATCAGCAAGGTGAACGATGACCTAATTAAGCTGCTTCCAAAATAACAACACTGGAGGAAAGTTAAAGGAGTCCTTGAACTCATTATTTCTTATATTGATTTTTATTCCATTTTTTCCATATTTGATGTGGATTCTTCACTTTAGATATCTGCACCGTTAACTCAAACTGGGCTCTGGCTATTTCTCCTGCGCAATCAGAGCTCCAGCACAAGCAGCCATGCACCTTGGTAATGACTAGGCTGTGCAGGCCCATTGGCCATCCACCTCCTCCCCTAGGCCAGTAAGATACAGGAGGAAACACAGATCTCAGCAGAGCAGGAAGGTGAGCAGCCTGTGGGGCTTTCCCAGTGGGCTACCAAACCTGCCAGCACTCAGAGCAGCAGGACATTTGCTGGGAGAATTAGAAGGCAGGTTTGAAGACATAGGACCACCAGCAGCGTGCACAGCAAAGAACTGCCCTAGTTTCAGCTGCCACCTGAACCACCTCTTGTGGCTGCCCAGATTGAACAAAGAATGCCAGTCCAACTTGAGGCAAGTTTTTCCAGCACAAAACCTCATATACAACACTTAGGTTACAATTAATGAGCTCTGCAGGGACAAACCCTTGCGCAGCGTGAACAACAGCAACAAGACTGTGCTCATCTATGCATTCATTCATCTCAGGGAACAGCAGCTGTCAAGAGTCACACACACACACATACTATGCTTTCACTACACTGATCTAACTACAAGCTATGCAACCCTTAGCTGGAAAAAATGAGTGACAATCCAGCTGCAGCAACTGAGTAACAGCCTGTCTCGGGGAAAGGCAGCCTTAACTCACACGGGAGAATTGCTCTTCAGGAGATGGGAAGGACAATGTATTTATTTCATGGGTGTTGCATCTATGTGACCAAATAATACGCAGCTTATGTCTTTCAAATATAAATGCAAATGACTGACTTAAAAATCATTGTTGGAACACAGAAGCCTCTCCTCTATTCCTGAGAAGTGGGTGATCTCCCAAGCTCATCAAGAACCACACAGAGTGGCATGTCAGATGCACAGGGGACCTGACCTCCTTGTATCTTTGACAAGCATTATGATAATCTCAGAATTAGGCATTAGAGCTTGAACAGAAAGTGACAAATCCACACCAAAATGATACTAGAGAACATCAAAGAGGCAAAAGCTTCTCTCATTCAAATGCTCCCCCAAAGTTTATAAGAAGCCACAGCCCAGCTTGTCATGGCTTTTTATGGTCCCGAGAAGCACCTTTCAAAAGGAACTGCAGGCAATCTCAGACATGTTCCTTGGCTACCTGCAGTTTCATCAGGCTGCTCAAGACATCCAAAACAATATTTCCTTACTAGGATGAATGATTTATGAGGATTGAGAAATTCAAGCCTGAACCTATGAAGTGAGTCATGGGACTCATGGGTTGCTTCCCCAGCTTCCCTCTCCCCACAAATCATCACACCTTCCAGGCCTAGTCTTGCTCTCACTGAAGTCATGCAGAAAACAAATGCCCATTAGCTTAAATACCACAGAGCCTATATTATCAGCTTGAGTGCCATCTTTCTCACTAAGAGTCCCTACCCAGGCAGAGAAACCACGTACTCACCCAGAGACTGTTGGGAGGGAAGCTGGAGCTGCCGACTGCCATTTCTCTTGCTGCCTCAGAAAGGATTTAGCTTCTTTTGAGGTTGAGTCCACTTCTTTAGTCACTCTGTTGGAAAAAAAAAGAGACAAACCAGAGCATGAGGAAGAGCTGTACTCGCAACAGCAAAAGCAAAGCTCCAGCAAGGAAACACAGAAAACAGGTGAGTCCCCACACCACCTGCACAGAGGTTACCTCCACTAGCTGCAAGCTGAAGAACATGCATCTTGTTAAGATTTCATTCCAGTGACAAACCCTCTATATTCATGGCAGAAAAAAGGAAAAGTAGCTAATTAGAGCTGGGGGAGGAGGGGATTTTTTTTTTTTCTTCAACCAAACAGGAATGCTTATTCATTCAAACAGGCCTGTCTCACTAGCAGCTACTAAATGCTCTGCTCAGGTCACTGAGGGCAATTCCAGGCTCTTAATTGGGCTCTTGATTTCCTCATTTGTTGGTCAGTGAGGCAGCTCTTCTGCCACAGCTGTTCTGCCACCCACATCTCGCAGCCCACAGCACACAGGCTTGGCAACATCTGCAACCCAAACCAGAGTATGGAAACTGGCTCCAAGGATGGGGAATGGGAGAGAAAGGTCTGACAAGGCAAAATGCAGAAATCTGCTCTCATTTTCTAGTTAATTTTTGTTTGAGGCCCTGAGGGCGCAAATATTGAACTTCAAAAAATTATAAATCAATACAGCATCTACAGCAGGGAATGAATTACAAACATGAGAAAGAATCTCTAGAAACCCACTCAATAATTAATTGTTAGAAAACCCCAGCTACTTTAGTCCCCTCATTTACAATGACCTGCCTCCAGCAACACGCTTTTCATACTCTCAGTAGGTCTTAATGAGGTTGCTCTGGTTTGCCAAGGTAACAATTTTGCTCCCCTGGAGCACAAGCCCGTGAGCCTCTCTGGGGCCCTACAGCTCTGTGGGCACAGAGGCAGCCCGACCCGCAGCTTGGCCAGAAGGCACGGTCCTCCATCCCACCCTCCCACACTCTGGGCTTCTGGCTGCATCTGCTGCCAGCAAGGGTGTGCAGGCTCATCCCTGGTCTAGAGCATGTGCCAATGAGAGGCCAAAAGCCTCGCTGGTCAGAGGATCTGCCCTCATTACAAGTCAGGCTAATAGCTGCTTGCCTCCTACCCACCAACCTGACCCTGCAACTTCCATGTAGAAACTGGCTCACGGACATGGAGAAACCCAAAGATCTGCAAACCCAGTTGGGTTACTGCTGGATTGGCAGAGACGGAAGTGCTGTGGAGTTACTTGTTAAGCCTGGAGGCATTGACGCCCTGAAATCCCACTTGCACACAAATAGTGCACCCATGTCCCTGTCCTGTCAGTGAACTGTCAGCATGTGAAGAAGTAGTTAGGGCAAGGAAATTGTTCTTCCTCCTTTTCTGCAGACTGCAAACACAGTGGAAAAGGCATGTTCAGAAATAACAATAAATTCTCATGCTGTACACCCCCTGCACAGCCTTGTTCAGCCAGTGCAGGAGATTAACCCCATCTCCCCCCTGCATTGTCACATGCCTTTCAAATCAACAGCAGTCATGTGGATGGAGACAAATCCCACATTATGAATATTTAGAAGTGTTTGCTGATCAGATTGGAAAGGGGTGGGGCGGGAAAAGCAGTTCAGGAAGAAACAAAAGCCTTGCTGCAGCATTGTCACAATTTAGGGCATCCCAAACATACCACCCAGTCACAGCCCTCAGCAAGGACAGTCACATCATACAGCAGTCATACGTCAAAGGTTACTCTACATCCGTGAATCTCCTTTGACAGAATAAACTTGGTGTCTTCATGCATCAGTTAGCCAGAACTCCCCATAGAGACCCTGGAGCCACGAGTGCCGGCTTCAGATTAATACAATCACACAGCCTATTTATTTTCAAACACAGTATCCAAAGAGCCGGCTCCATCCCCTACCCAGCTGGGAAGCAGCACTGTTTCTCATGCACTCTGCAGCACTGGCGCCCAGCATGGTCCCCCTCCTCCTGTCACCTCCCTGCACTCTCGTGCCATCAGGGTCCACCCCTGGTGCGCAGGAAATGCGTGAGCTGCCATGAGAAACATCAGGCGGACCCCGAGCACGCAGGAATTTCAGAGGCATAGCATAGTAACCACATGCCCTGGAAAAAAAAAAAAACCAACCAACCCCTCGGTGCTGGCCTCAACACAGCCACAGTACCTGCCCCTGGGTTAGATCCTAGCTGTGAAACCCTGCACATTTCTGGGACTTGAAGAGTGTAGGACCAAGAGGAGGCAGGAGTTGGGAAAGGAAGCAGAGGTCACAGAAAGCACGCCTTGCCATTAACTCTGCTTGTCGCGCTAAGAGATGACAGGTCAGTTCAGCTCCCATAAACCTACAGGAATCTGGCAATTAAATAGCTTACGGGATCTGGACATGCACAATAGGGAACAGGTTTTCAAAGCCTGTGGCAGAGCTAGGATCTAAACATAGGGCCCCTTGATCTTAACTTCGTGACTACCTTCAGTCTTCTCCAACCCAGAGACAAAACTGAATGTTGTCCACCAGCTGAGGTGAAGGAAGGCAAGAAGCTAAGATGCACATGAAAAATGGCTCCAGGGATTTGCCAGCCTGTAGTCTGACAGAGGTAGCATGATGTTGGTTAGACCAGCACTACAAGCCACAGGTCTCAGAGCAGGAAGATGGTCAGTCCCAGGAAGGGTGAGAAAGGAAAAAACTCTGTCTGCTGTGGCCACTCAACGCGATGTGCAGGGAAGGTTTGGCACAGCCCTTCAAAGACACTCAGTTCAGCAGCAAAGAAATCACTTTGCTATCCAGGGGCATGAGACAGGTTGCTACCAAGGTATTACTTAGGCTTTGATACTTGCTTCCTCCATCACCTCAGTGTACCAGCAGCAACGGCTGGGCACAGAACATAACACTTTGTTCAAATGTTTTTGCCCCCTTTGGCCTGCCAGCAGCTGCTCTAGAGTATATTTTTCAAGTTGTCCACTGTAGCAACAGAGCCACAAAGCTGCAGGCAACCTGTTCCATCAGGACTGCCCAGCTGGGGACAGAGGAATGTGTCAGAAACATAATTATAAGTGACCTTTCAAGGCGATTCCATCACAAGACCCACTGATTGCCTCATAAACTGAAACAAAAGCAGCTCTGAGGCAGGCTGCTGCTGGGCTGATGCCAGCAGTGACTCCTGCATCACTCCAACCGAAATGACAAACGGAAGAATATTAAAGGGCTTTACAAGGTATTAATTCAGGTTATGCATATTTCAACCTTTCCCAGATCCCAGGCCAGGAAGGAAAAAAATCCTCTGGTCTGCATTATTATGGGAGACAATAACTCTGCATGTAGAAACCAAAACACTTCTTGTTCTTCATGGGAGCAATTAATCCAGCTGGAAGAAATCACAGTCATTACTAAGGAAAATTACAAGACCTTTCACTTTTAAATACTTGATAAATAACTATTTGCCTGGCTATTCATTGGGATGCTATTCACACATTGTAATCCAGGAATAAACATGAAAATAAGTACATTGTCAGCAATAAAACAAGTAGCTAGTGTCTCGCCCACTCACAGACCCTGTAATTCACACACAAAACCACTCGCTCTCATCACTTTCCTATAAAGATTTCATTATACTGCTATGCTATTAAATTCCATAGTAAGACTTCCAAAATGCAGAACAGTTACTAATTTTTTTGGACCGTGCTGGAGCATAGTAGCACAGATGATACTACTGTACAAGGTGCTGTGCAACTGTAAAATAGAAAGGTCTTCCCTATTACAAAGTTATTACAAGGAAAACATGCTAGACACTAGATCACTAAGTGCCTCTAATACTTACAGGTGTCCTTCTAAGGACCCTTCACCTCTGAACCAAGCTCAAAGTGATACCCAAGCATTAAAGCATAACCACACCCACCCAGCCTCCTGTTTTGATGCCCAGCTATGGATACGTTACTTCCATCTTCCACTGAAGAATTTCTCACCCTTCCCTTTATATTTACTAACTGAAATGCTGCAACCTATGTGCACGGAAAAGGCCTCAGTTATGTATGCTGGGCACCAAACCACATGAAGACAACCAACATGCTGTCACAGGCTGTCCCAGAAGTTGTTGCACAGAGCACGCGCTTAGAGTACTGAACTGTAGCATCCTAATATAAGAACAAGTGTTTGATCTGCTCCCAGCAATCCCCTTAGCCACATAAACAGCTAAATTTTCATACTTCAGTTCAGTGGCAGAGTAAGTCTAATATACCAGCTTTTCTCCTGTGTTCTGGTCTTACACCAGGTGCAGAGTTACCAGGTGTGAAGAGGAGGGTCCCAATCCATCACATCATCCCACTCCTGCTACCATAGCAGAACACAACACCCACACCCCATGACTCACCCCAGTGCAGTGGTCAGGTGCCCCTACTCAAGCACAGCTGAATCCAGTCCTGTTTGCAAGAAACAGAACTAACATAAGGGATGCCAACAGTGCAGTGTTTCAGGAAAGTGCACAGCTCAGCAGCAAGGTGCCCTGCAAGCCCTTACAGAAGCACTTCAGCAGAGCCACATCCTTGAAAGGAGGGGAAAAGGAGGCAGGATCTCAGAGGCAAGATAGGGGAAGCTGGGAAAGCCAAACAGCCACATCAAGAAGGCTTGCAGGCTTCTGTCCATAGTCTACTCTGTAATAGCAACCTTATGCATTCCAAGTGCCAAAACCCCTCCAACTTACCCCCAGGTGGCTCAACACAACTGCATTTTCCTAATCAAAATGCCTGGTGCACAATCAGGCTGAAAAAGCACATGTTGGTATTTGGGTATAAGGGGCCTTGGAGCTGAGAAGATAGTTAAGATCCCTAATTGCAGCAGCACAAAGGTACCATCTCCCCTGATCTCCATGCTGAGAAAGGGAGAACAAGAGTGGAAGCTCTGGAAAATACCAGCTCCTTACCACACATACATGGGACACTCAGGCCTCACTTGGGAAACCTGCCCCAGTTTAGACCTGACACAATTACAAAACTTTCCACATTCTCTTAATGTTGTTAGCTCTGGGGAATTACAGGCCAAGGGG